AAGCACCTGGCACTGGCCACTGTCAGAAGACAGGATTCTGGGCTAGATGGACTATCGGTCTGACCCAGTATGGCCATTCTTATAATAGTTTTTAAGTACATGAAAGGTTGTTATAAGAAGGAGGGTGAAAAATTGTTCTTGTTAACCTCTGAGGATAGGACAAGAAGCAATGGGCTTAAACCACAGCAAGGGAGGTTTAGGTTGGACACTGGAAAAATCTTCCTGTCAGGGTAGTTAAGCACTGAAATGAATTGCCTAGGGAGATTGTGGAATCTCCATCATTGGAGGTTTTTAAGAACAGGTCAGACAAACACCTTTCAGCAATGGCCTAGTTATTGTGTAGTCCTGTCTTGAGTGCAAGGGACTGGACTGGAGGCCCCTTCCAGTTCTACATTTCTATCTACACTTCTATCTGATCTATGGTAAAGTGTCTCTTTCCTGTTCATTCTCCCTGCACTTTACTGCTTGGGCATGCACAGCAGCAGCATGGTGAGTAGTCTTTTTAGTGCAGTTAAACCCTATGTGTGAACACAGGATACAAACAATAAATGAGATTTTAAAAGTGACTTCAAACTTGTATTTAGCGCTCTGCCAATGAAACCAATTTCTGCTGAAATGTATGCAGTCAGTTCAAACAAACCTGTAAACAAACCAAAATGTTTTTCCCCCGCTAGAAGTTACAAAGCATGCAATTAGCCAAAAGTAAAGAAAAAAATGAGTAAAGACCGAAGTGAAAATCAGATGCTCTGTGCATAAGATTTCACTTACACGGGGATTGGGAATATGATTTTCTGTGCCACTCACTTTCTAAATAATACTGGGATTCTGAGTGAATGAAAGAATGGATACAGCAATTTGAAGTCTTAAACAACTACATAACCAGTGCTGTATATTCACCTGTGCTTTCACTCAAAGGAGACTACAGCCAACTGCTGAAACCACTATGATTCTGCTTTATTACTTAGAAAGAAAGACACTAGAAGAATCAAGTTGAGAGAAATCCAAGAAAGCAAGGATATTCTGAACTACAGTTAAAACAACACCTTTAATGTACTGAGGTACAAGGACTTCTCAGGACTCCATTTCACCTGGAAACTCTCTCTCTCAAACTAGTCTTCGGGAAGGGGGAGGGGGAACAAGCTCTTTTTTGTTTATTCACAGCACCATCAAAATTTACTAAAATCTGGTTACAATATTAGAAAAAAAATGAATTACTTTATTGCTGCTTAACACACACCTCCCCTGCAAATTCAAATGTAACATTCTACAGTACACAGAAAGCAGAAATGCTTTCTCAATAATACTTATTTTAATTTTTTTTAAAGCAGCAGTAGGCTCTTCTACAGGTGCTGATGAAAACTTGAAATCTGACAGGGATGTGATCTCTGGCCGACAGACATGCCTTTCTGGGGTTAGGAGAAAATCTGCAAATTTGCCATGTTCTGTGTGTTGAAATAAAACATACTTCATGAAGGTAAATTGTTTTTGACACAATAAAGCTAATGATCTGTCGATGTTTCACTGGTGTTGCACACACATGCAAAAAGCAATTGGAAATTCTCACAGAACAGATGACCTCTCTAGATTTGTCACTAGATTTGTGCGTATGTGCTCAATAAAACTGAATGGATTTTCAATTTTAATATATACGGACTTGTGTAATCTAGCACGGCTCTTTTCAGAAACCTAAGAAATTAAAAAAATTAAAAATCTAATACACTAAATGATTAAATATGCAAAGTAAAGCATATAAAAGTTAAAAAACAAAATTAAGGTTGCTTAAGTAACTTTAGTTCTGTAGCCTCATGGTATATATTAGGGTACAACCTTTAGGTACATAATCACATGCTATTTCACCCAAAGGATATCTTCCTCATTCAGGCCCCAATTCGGCAAGCATTTAAGCATGTGCTTAAGACTCACTGACTTCAATGGGTCTTAAAGCAGATGCTTACATACTTTATAGATTGAACCTCAGGATTTCAGGGCTCAGGCTGGATGGTGCATTAAGAGTAGAAAGGGGGGCATAAAAAACCTTAACCCTGACCCTTTATATGTAGATATTATGATTCAGTCTTTATTTACATGACCATATACCGATACTTTCCCACCATACTGGGATATTGTGAAGATAAGTTCAGTAATGTTAAGAACATAAGAATGGCCATACTGGGTCAGACCAAAGGTCCATCCAGCCCAGTATCCTGTCTGCCGACAGTGGCCAATGCCAGGTGCCCCAGAGGAAATGACCTAATAGGTAATGATCAAGTGATCTCTCTCCTACCATCCATCTCCACCCTCTGACAAACAGAGGCTAGGGACACCATTCCTTACCCATCCTGTCTAATAGCCATTAATGGACTTAACCTCCATGAATTTATCTAGTTCTCTTTTAAACCCTGTTATAGTCCTAGCCTTCACAACCTCCACAGGCAAGGAGTTCCACAGACTGACTGTGCGCTGTGTGAAGAAGAACTTCCTTTTATTTGTTTTAAACCTGCTGCCCATTAATTTCATTTGGTGGCCCCTAGTTCTTATATTATGGGAACAAGTAAATAACTTTTCCTTATTCACTTTCTCCATACCACTCATTTTATATACCTCTATCATATCCCTCCTTAGTCTCCTCTTTTCCAAGCTGAAAAGTCCTAGCACCTCTTTAATCTCTCCTCATATGGGACTCGTTCCAAACCCCTAATCATTTTAGTTGCCCTTCTCTGAACCTTTTCTAATGCCAGTATATCTTTTTTGAGATGAGGAGACCACATCTGTACGCAGTATTCAAGATGTGGGCGTACCATGGATTTATATAAGGGCAATAAGATATTCTCCATCTTATTCTCTATCCCTTTTTTAATTATTCCTAACATCCTGTTTGCTTTTTTGACTGCCACTGCACACTGCGTGGACGTCTTCAGAGAACTATCCACGATGACTCCAAGATCTCTTTCCTGATTAGTTGTAGCTAATGTTTGAGAACTCTGATACTATAAGAGGGAATCTCATAGAAAACCCTATTAATAAAGAAAAAGTTCTTCCTTCAGAGCAGTGGTTAGGTGCTGTGCAGTGCAAGAAGCATGCCACATACCTAAACAATAAGAATATTGAACAGTTGCCTCACTTACTGAGTACCATCCACGCTGAGCATCAAATTCACCATTTAATTCTGCTATTTCTTTAAAATTTGGAGAATATAGCTTTGAAATTTCTGAGTAATATTTGTATAGACTTACAAGGATATTCTTCTTAGCAGGTAAATACAAACAGTGGTAGAATACCGTTTAACAAGTCTTGGATGTCTAATTTCTTATAAAAAGGGTTTGCTGTTTCTGTTAAGATGTTTATATTTGGAATGAGTGTACTGAATGAGTTCATAGCCGCAGTTAACAGCCAAGCTTTATTGCATTCCTCTGTCATTTGCAGTGTTGTGGTTATATTTTACTAATAGTAAAATCTCATCTTAAACTGTTAATGCTTTATTCCATTTACAGCTGGGTGCCATGCTTTGACATGGTAAGACAGCTACAGCACTGCTTTCTAGCTCTAGTGGTTGTCAGTGCTGCTAAAATGATGAGAACTGAAGTTGGAAGGGATGGGAAAGCAAGATAGTAATCTAGTAGTGAATGTTGCACACCACTAAAAGTTGATATTTTCAGGTTTCTAGTGATATACACCTTTTGCTTCTAGCCCTGATGATCTGAGAGATATCAAGTTTTAAAACTGTCACTGGTCCTTCAGGGCAATGCTTTTTTGGCACTGGTCCGGGACTACAAAATAGGAAGCAATGGTCCTGGAACAAGTATAATTTCCAACAATTTTTCAGCTCCAAGAAAAGATGGTGATTAAGAGAAGAGATCTGTGTGGCTGAAATACTAATCTTGACACTATTAAGCTGCAGCATTAATGGGGTCTATTGAGATACTGGTTTCAATGTTGGGCCTTAAGGAGCTGGGGTATAAAAGAAAAATAGGGGAATCGTCAGGGAAATAGTCCGATCTTCAGAAATTTAGGACACCTGCAGGAGGGGGAATATATCAGTGCCCCCACAGACTTGCATTGACATTGCTTTAAGAACTTTGCTGTGGCAAATCTCAATAAGGTACTGAAATGGTGAAGGAGTATTGGCACATACAGTGCTGAAAAGTATATCTGCAATTTAAAAAACATTAAAAAAAACCCCAAGTCCATATTAAAAGCAGTCTAAGAATTATTAATTCTTTGGCAAAAAAGCTTAAGTCCAAACAACTTTTAAAATCCCTAGGTCAAAGAGTGTCAAATGTTTTTATTTGGTTTTGAATAACTCCAACCTGACAACTTGTATTCCAAGTTTGAACCAGGTGACAAACAGACCTACTAAGCCCAGAAAACTATGATTCATAACAAAACCACCATCTTAAACAACTACAGTAGCATGATTGGGGTTGCTGTAATACTCTTGAGTAGCTTGCACCAAGAAAACTAAAGCCTCATTTTACAGGATCTAATCTCCAACAGACGAGCTTAAGTAATTGGGGCATGTGGAAACAGAAGTAAAGTTCATAGAATCATAGGGTTAGAAGGGACCACAAGGGTCATGTAGTTTAAGCCCCTGCCAAGATGCAGGATTTGTTGAGTCATATCCCTGCCCATTTAGTACCAGTGAGTTGCCTTTTGTCCCCAATATGACTGTTAAATAACTTCAGCGTATTGGCTTTTGAGTACCTCTTTATACATTTTCAAAGTGACAAAAATCAGAGTTAAGTTACATGATGGATAAATGCAGATGACAGCTTTACGAAGCTGGACTGTCCTTTTGTTCCTATTAATTAGTTTTATCTGTATACCTTATAGGCACATTGAAGGTAATTTACCTCACGACTTTATACAACCTTACAGATTAGAAAACAAAAGTCTTATAACATGCAACACAGAGCAGATCCAGTCAAGTCCAACATAATATAAAATGAACCAAAGCAAAAAACTATGAAAATTATTAAAATAAAAGGGATAAAAATACATACACTTGGTATGGGAATGACCTGCATCTGGTCACCCTGGGGGAAAAGAAAAAAAAATATCATTGTAAGGGCTTTTGAAAGGATGGAACAGAAAGATCTGAGACATTAAATTTGGCACTCAAACATTTTTAACAAAAAGGCTCCAAGTATTCAAGAATGCAACAAAAAATAATCAAACAGGTCCTTGCATTTTAGCTGCTAAAGTGATTGGTTAGTATAACACAGTATTAGTGATTTTTTTAGACCATAAACTGATAAATCCCGTGCTTTAATTAATAAGAGGAAGTAGGAAAACGTATCCATATTCACTTCAAGATTTCCTTTCTTCAAGTAATAAAGTCCACGGATTAGTTACAATGAGTATACCAGTCTGATTAAAGCTACTGGGCAAAACCAGTCTTGTCAGTCACTGGCAGCAGTGGAATGCCCTACCTCCTGAATTTCCCTCCAGTTGAGGTGACTTTCAGAACTAGGTTCATTCAAAACTACTTTCCTAAATTACAGCTTATGTTAAATATAGTTTAAGGAAAAAGAATTTCTCCTACTGCAGAGCATGGTAAATTCCACCTCACAAACCTACAATCTTGGGTGTCCATTTCCATCTCTATTCTAGATGAGCCATCTGTTTCCAGATTGATCCTGATATGTGTGGACCCGATTGCTTGAAGAAAGGAAATTTTCAGGTAGCATAAATAAAAATTTTCCTATTCTTTCCTCTTCTTTGCCCTAAGGTCCACAGATTGGTTACAATGCGATTTTCGTAGCAATGTGCATCCAGGGTGGGAAGCAGGATTGTCGTTTAAATATGGACATCCAAAATGAAATAGATTATATGTAAATATTTCTTCTATCATCCCTTGGGCATTAAGGCATGGAGAATACTTCTGCTAAACGAAGGAAATGGCATAATGACCAATATGCAGAGTTTGGTGAAGTAGGCCTTCTAGCAGATCTCAATTACAGGAGACATGACTACTTTGTCCTGAAATTGTCAGTGCTCCTAAGGATTGGACTACAATGCCTAACCGAAGGAGGAATATTTCTTGAATGCCATGACAGTTCTGAGGACTACCTGTCTTAATTAAAAGTACAATACTAGATCTCAGAGAAAGCTCTCGATTTCAAATAACTCATCTGATTGAATATGTAAGCCTTTGGGAGGCCTACCCTAGTTGGTAGGAAGTACCACTTACTTCCGGGGTTCAATCTGGGTAATGCTGTAAGGAGCAGAATGAGGTTCCAAGGTTGTCCTCAATGACTGTGCAGGGTTGGAATAAGATTGATGCCCCGAAGATGCATTTAATGTTGGAAGCTGTGTACAAAACTTCCTTGCTTTTAACATGTTGAGAACATTATACTACACACATTTGACCTTTTTGCTTGGGCACTCTTACACGTCACAATAAAATCATACTAGGGGAACTCAAGGCTATGTTTCACCGGTTGAACGTGGTAGTTAAAACTATGAACTTTGCATCAGCCAGTAGAATAAGTTCTATTTCTTGACTTCTGTTTTGGGATCCTTGAGAACAGTAATTACTTCATCCAAGTATTCATTTTAAATCTGTCTGGGCCAAGATAGAGGATTGGTCTCACAATAACAGATCCCCCCCTCTGAGACAGAGACATCCCAAAAGCCAGTGCTAGGTTAATCAATTCTGAGAGCCATAGCTTCTTCAGCCAGACGTACAAAACAGAATCATAACCACACTCTAGCTCCTATTTTTTGTATAATCCTGGGAAGCAGTGAAAGGCGTGGAAAGACCTATAGCATGAACCCTACCCAGCTTTGCACGAAGACCTCACTGGGTCCAGACTGCAGGGTACTTTATTTACTGGTTCCAGATGCAAAGAGATCAATCACCAGCCCAACAAATTGACTCATGCTGATTAAGATATTTCTGGGTGCAACCACAACTTTGCTAAACTGACTTCTGCCATGTAAATCTTGGGGTTCCATCTCCTTGGTGAGCAGTGCACATAGAGATAAGAAACGTTGCTCAGCCCAGCACAGGAGAATTTCTCTTGGGAATGGAGCTGATCATGTTCTTCATAGTTATTCTTAAAACTATCAGACATGTTGACTGTCACAAGAATAGGTCTGTTATCCATTGAATAAGCAGTGCTCTGAGACCTCAGTGAATCATTGTGTTCCACCTCTTTTCCATTTCCTGATCTGAATCAGGAAAAGCCCTGGAAAAAAAAAAAATCTGATTTGCTGCAGTCGTCACCTATCGAAGCAGAGAATGTACAATTGGAGAAAGAACTCTGCCAATTAATGAGATTGGTGAGGTGCAGAGGGTATACCAATTGTGTATTATGTGAACTGTGCATCACTTAAGCATGCCTGTGTATTAGATCACAATTCCTAATAGGCTCCAATAAGAATTGAATTTTTGTTCATGACACCACTTGTTTTTCATTATGACCATCTTCATAGTCTGTTAATCTTCCTCTGACATGAGACCTTGTATCTGACAGTATTCATCCTCAGCCCAGGGCTATGACTGACTCTCCTGGAATCATGTGTCTGTGTTTGTCCTGAATTCAAGATACACCAGGAAGTAAGAGTGTGTGTGAGTGTGAGTGTGTTTTTTTCAGGTTATTCCTCAACACTGTATACTATAGCCAGCTTCTGGAGAGAGGAGGAGAAGACGAGGCCAGGCACGGCAACCTGCAATGGCAGCTGGGATCAAAAAAGCAACACTTTCCCAATTTTCCAGGTGTGGCAGGAAATTCCTATCCTTCTATTACACCTTCATATGGTGCAGAACAGATATACAGCCACAGCTTGTCTAGGGCAACTGCAGACCTCTTGGTTTACTGAAACTACACTTGAGTACTTTTTTGCCTGGATTTTTTTTTTTTAAATATATGTTTTACTACTCGATTTTTTAGCTCTGATTTAGACTGCTGGCCTTCCTCCACTAAGGAAGAAGAATTTCCTTTGAGGGTGTATGTGTATGCATGCCTTGAGGAATCAGCACATAACTAACATTTTTATCTATGACTTGGAAGAAAACATCAAATCCTCAATGATAAAGTTTATAGATGACACAAAATTGGGGGAGTATAATGAAGAGAAGTCGCTGATTCAGAGCAATCTGGATTGTTTGGTAAACTGGGTGCAAGCAAACCATATGCATTTTAATATGATTAAGTGTAAATGTAGAAACAAAGAATGCAGGTTGTAGTTACAGGATGGGGAACTATCATAGAAAGCAGTGATTTTAAGAAAAGATTTGAGGGTCAAGGTGGATAAGTCAGCTGAACATGAGCTCCTAGTACAATGCTGTAGCTAGAAGGACTAATGTGATCCTTGGATGCATAAACAGGAAATCTCGAGTAGGAGTAGAGAAGTTATTTTATCTCTATATTTGGCACTGGTGCCACTTCTGCAGGAGTACAGTCTTCAGTTGTGGTGTCCATAATTCCAGAAGGATGTTGATAAATTGGAGAGAGTTCAGAGAAGAGCCACAGGAATGATTAAAGGATTAGAAGACATGACTTATACTGACAGAGTCAAGGAGTTCAATCTATTTAGCTCAACAAAGAGAAGACTAAGGGGTGACTTGATTATAGTCTAAGTACCTCCCTGCGGAGCAAATATTTAATAATGGGCTCTTCAATCTAGCAGAGAAAGGTATACCATGATCCAATGGCTGGAACTTGAAGCCAAATTCAGAATGGAAATAAGCTGCACTGATCTGCCATGCTGCACTCTGTAAAGATGAGGGAACCCAACACGGATGATTAATTCCTATGATGCACTTCATGAAGGTGTCCAGGAGAATCAAACACTAAGGATTGTCCGAGCTACTACACTCTGTGAAGGAGAGCAGGGGAAACAGCACTGATTATTCATTTATTTCCCCTTTGGGAATTTGTCCCCTTAAACCTGCTTCAAAAAGGGGAATGAAACTGTGCTCAGCAATTGCTCCGAAAATAATTCACATGGCTAGTGATCTCTCTGTCCTATAAAAGGTTGGGTTTGTTTTTCTCCCCTCCCTCGTATGGACCCTTTCTGGGTCTCTCAAGGAAGGTACTGGCTTGGGGCTCAAGGATGGGCTCCCCAGAAGCTGTCCCTTCTCTATTGCATGGGATCTACATGGGCCAAATTGATCTGTTTCCCCTGGAGGTCTCAGCCTGTGATATGAGAAGTTCTGGGGAAGGAAGGCTGTTATATAGGTGGAAGCAGGGGGAGGGAGCTCTCTCCGGCATTAGCAGCATCTGTGTTGTGACAAGTGCCCTCCACCCATGACTCCTGGGGTAGTGGAAGTGGAGGAGGTGGCTGAGTTCCACAATCCGGGGCATGGCTGCTGGTGCAGGCTACAGGGACTCAGGAGCAATCTTTACTCCTGGGGAATTCTGTGCCACTGCGCAATGAAGAATTTTGCAAAAATTAATGTTGTGTGCACAATCCCCCCCCCCCCTCCCCAGAATAGGCTGCAGAGATGTTGGCCGCCTCTAGGGGCTGCTGGACCCAGCAGAGCCCAGTTTGCAAACAGAAGACAAGGCGAGTGGGAGAGAACTGGATGGTTCCCAGCAGCTGCAGTTCTCAGGACTCCCTGAAGGAAGGAGGCGGCAGCGTCTTGGCTTGGGGGGCCCGTGGCTGGGCTCTGGGGAGGAAAGGGGTATGAGTGTCTGGGTTGGGGGAGCCCCATGGCTGGACTCTGAGGGTGAGGGGGCTATGAATGTCTGGCCCCCTGACTGGGTTCTGAAAGAAAGAGGACAGAGAAACAGGAACTGGGTTGTCATAGGGGTTTCTTTAACTCTACTCCTGGAGGAATTTTTTGTTGTTGTGTCTGCATTGTTACAGACATACTTGCTGACAGGTATTTTGAAATAAATTACCAAAATAATTGAAACTGGTGTGATTATACAGTGTTATTTTGACAAATAAAATTCGCAGAATTTTAAAATATTGTGTGCAGAATTTTTATTTTTTTTGGCACAGAATTCTCCAAGGAGTAAATCTCCATCTGGTATGCTGCCCTTCTGGCTTCACCTCCATTCAGGAAGACTGGGGTGAGGGGCTGCTTGTCCCAGAGCCTGTTCTTCTCCAATTCTGCACACCTCCTTTCCTGCCAGGGGAGGGGGCCTAGGCTTGTCTGGACTTCATCTTGCCCACCACAGCTGACCTCTCCTACCTTGCCCGGGAGAAGGGGTCAAGGCAAATGGGATATTGTACTGTGACTGAAACAGCACTCTAGCCAGAGTCAGCTGAACTCCCCAATGACACAGTTGATAGTGGGGAGCATTCAAAAGACCCTTCCTTTTGCCTCTACAGCCGGGAGGAGTGGTTGAGTCTGTTTGCCATTGGGGAGGAAGAAAAAATGGAGGTAACTTCAAGAGGAACAGCATTCTCTTGCTGCCATACTGACAGGTCTGGTTCAGCACCCAAGGTGCAAGCAGGATGATGTACCCATTGTAACAGATCTGTGGACCATAGCACAAAGGTTTGTTCTGCATTAAGGGGCACTGTAGCTATATGGAGAAATAACAGAAAAAAGTTTGCATTATAATTTCAAGAGTTTCAGCTGTACTGAAAATTAACTATTTTCAGAATGGACTGATCAGAACTCAATGTATAAGGCACACGTTGCAAAGAGACTGTTCTGAGCAGTATTTTTAAAAATAGCTTCATACTTTTTAGAGAGTATCTGATTTTTAAAGTTTTTTTTTTATTAAAATGGAATAGTAATCATTGCTATCAAATTGTGATTATTCAATATGATTCTCAGCTCTGCACTTCTTCCAACCCTATGAACCAGTAAAGGGTCACTCAGGTAGCCAATCACAGCCGAACAATGCCAGACTGCAATGCTTGGTAAAATGCAACCACCACATTTGCTGTATGTTCTGAAAAATATTTTTCAGGGTAAACCAAAAATATTAAATAGCAACAGAATTATTTAACACAAGAATGTTAGCAGATCTGTCTTATTTCACTTAGTTTTGGAGACCTATATTTTACAAAAAATTTAGTTGTTGCTCTCCATTTTGCTTAATAACAAGCTGTTAATGCTGAAACAGATTTAAAAACTAATTCTTAAACCAATTAAAACTAAACCTATTAGGTCAATTTCAAGAATGTTCTTAACAGTTTTAGAACTGCTTACACTAAATTGCTATAAAATCACAATGCGCTTTCCCCATGTCTACTTCCTTCTCTTAATTTGTTTTTCTTATCTTTATCATTAGCATCCATATAGCAACAACCCTAAAAGACAGAAGGTGAAATACATAGACCATTTTATACTACAGCTCCTGGTAGGGACTAACTTCATGATTGCTTAACGCCCTTCCTCTGTTTTTCAGGGGAAATAGTGAGGTCAGAAAAGCTCTTGCCTGATAAAATATGACTTGAGAGCTGCAAATTCAAAGCATTTTCTGAAAAACTGCATTATCCCATACAATGTGACACTGAGTGTTCAATTATTTATCATTCCAAATCATTTATGCAGTTATCAACTTTAAATTCTCTAACAGTGTTATTTCAAATTTAAAATAAAGGCAGCATATACACTGCCACGGCAACTAAGCTAGTATCTACGACACATTCATGCAGCTTTCACTTATTTTCATCAAGGTTCAAGACCTCCATCTCCTTTCAATAACTTTACAGGCTTAGTTAAGTGGTTTAAGGATTTGACACTTTCTACTACCAAGTATTCTTAAGCTTTGTTGAAACTGGCCTTTTTACAAATTAAAATATGTTTGCCTCACTCTTTAGTCTATTCATAGTTATGAAAAATTTAATCCTTCCTAAGCATTCTTTTGATTGTTAATTATTCACTGAATACTTCTACTGAATTCACTGAAAACTGTTGTCTAATTTTAAAATGTGAACCTTGTGACATTTGTTTCTATCTGAATTTGGATGAACATTCATTTCTGAATTTTACAAATTGGAGTCAACTGTTTAATATTAATATTATATTAATACAGATTAACATGAGGACAATATCTAGTATTTACATAGCATATGTGGTGGGTCCCTCAAGGCATAATGTACATCTGTCAGAGTTATCTGTAAAATATTATGCCTTATGAACATTTCTATTTTGGATAATTAGACTAAGAGTAATTATTCTATCCCATAAAAATTGAATTAGATATTTTCTAGAGAACTGAGGATACCACGTACATTAAAAAGTGAGAGAATTACAAAATATTTAGGGGTAGTTTACATTTTGAAGTTTTTGGCCATCAACCCAAAGAACTTGCATCATTTTATTAGTTTGGTCTCCCAATACAATACCACTGCTAAAACTCAAATATTTAACATTTATCTCTTTTCTCTGGATCTTTTTCTTCCTCTGGAATTTATTCTTTTTTTCCCACCCCTTATTTTGCCAATAATCTTCTCTCCGTGCATCCTTCCCACATCCTATTATTTTGTAAGGGACAGAGCTTTGTTAATTCCCTGTTCCTCCCATATTACTATGTTTTTGCACACACTCCCTGCAGTGGACTGGAAGTCTGAGACTCTCCCTTTCTCATGGAAGACTAGATTTTGCTCACTCCACAGTTAGTCAATAATGCAACTGCAGCTAGGCAAAGAGGTCTACTGGACAGAGATGCAATTCCACCTCTTCTCCGGGTACAGCATACACACTGCAGTGCACCTAACCTACTGGCCCCATGGGCAGTGGACCAAATTCAGTCTCAGACTAGTGTGCACTATTCCAATTCAACACTCCAACCCTCCACTTAGTTTCCCTGCCATCCTGATCTGCTTATCCTTTCTTCCTTCCCCCTAGATAGCTCCTGTGCCACTGCTCCAACATTTCAGAGTCCAAGAGGCATTTACAAAAGCAGAAAAGTGACATGAAACTGACATGAACTGTGTCAAGATTCTGAACTGGAGCTGTGCGAGAAGTGAAAGGGGGAAGGAATTCCTTTATTTCTACTGCTCTTGCCCACACCGGCAGCAAAGGCTCACCCCTATTCTTCTGAGGCTCCCATGCCTAAAGGAACAGATGGGAAGTTGCTCTGGATAACAGTATAATACAATTCTGCCATGGAGAGTTCTGAAAATATAGCATGGCTTTGGAGAAAAGATAGGATGCCTCTGATCCCCATGCCAAACTAAGTCTTTGGTCATGCAAGGCAAGTTGCCTCCATGTTACCAGTTTAAAATATGTACAAAGTTATCATTATATGCTATAGTTATATGGATATGTAACCCTCTGGATTTCATAGCCACTGCTTTTTCATTTAAAGATTAGAAATTTTAAGGGCTTATTCAATTTAAATTACCCACTGTTCAATTACTATTTTAAACCTCAAAATAAGGTAGCACAACACAGCCTGCAACCTGGGAAAATAATCACTCTAAATTGACATCTCTGGGATGGTCTCATGGCAGCACAATACCTATGAGGTGAGGTGGGATTGAAAGAATCAGAATGTGAATCTCTCCCTTGCCCTACCCCATGCTAGGAATGTCTCATATCACTCAAAAAGCTATTTCAACTGAAGCTCAAAGTAGTGCTAATTGGCTCCAGAAGGAACAATATCTAACCCTCTTTAATTGGAGAACAACAATGGGGGTGAAGGAGGTGGACTGGGGGAAGGAAAAGTGAGAGTCCTTTTCCTATGACAACACAAGTCTAGATTTTTGGGTTCCTTGAGGTTTTATACAGGCCTGGTCCACACTTAAAAATTAGCTTGATTTAGCTACGTAGCTTAGGGCTGTGAAAAATTTCACATTCTGTGTTGCAGTGAGGTCGACCTAGCCCCCAGTGTAGAGGCAGCTAGATTGACAAAAGAATTTTTCTGTTGACCTCACTGCTGCCTCTTGGAGAGATGGATTAACTTTATCACTGGAAAAACCTCTTCCATCGATGCAGAAAGTGTCTATATTACACTGCTACAGGAACACAGCTGCAGCCCCATAGCAACTGTAGTGCAGATACGTCCACATTGTTTGCATATACTATTATTTTCTTCAGAGCTGCAGTACTAGAACCTTGTCTTAAATTACGATTACCTTTTTAAAGAAAAATGAAAATATTTTAAATTGGTATCTCGACAGGTGCTATTTGGTACTTTTTCAGGATGTTCACACTATTTGAGTTACAGTAAAGTTGAGCCTTTCACATGGGAAACATACCATGTAATTTGAGACTGCCAATTTATTTACAAGGATCTAAAGACTAAAAAAAAAAAAAAATGGTACAAGTCACTGACCTTCTGAAGTCCTCCATTCTCCTCCACCAATGGAGGAAGAGTACTAGTGCTATTGGTGGATGGTGGTTCCACATTGTAGTCACGAAAACAGCAGAATAAGGTGCTAAAGATACTTCGACTCCTTTGCTTCTTCAAGCTGATATTACATTGGGACACTATAAAATGGGGGGAAAAGAAATCATGCTGTAAGTTTTCCAGATATAAAATGCTTATATGTTATTTGAAAATTCCTGATGTTCATCAACTTTACCTTCACACTTTACACCATATCTTTCACTGTCAAACTTACACATAGAGGTCTGTATATACACATCAGGTTTGGCTCTCCACACAATCCAAACTCTTGTGATACCATACTGAGAGATCTTACTTTGATAGATGCTCTAGAAATACCTAAAACAGATACTGTGACCTATAGCCAGTAATTTGCTGCCAAAATCTGACTCTGAAATGGGACTCGGCTCTAAAACAGAATGTCATCAGGAGAAGTCAACTGATCCCTGGGCATATTTTGGGCAAAACACTTTACTGTTTGAGACAGAAACTCATTCCACATAGAATTTTTTTTTATTTTCCTGCTGCTTATGCCTTGACAGCTATGTTATAGAACATGAAAAGAACATAACAAACAAACAATTCTTGTAGCACAGAGAATTAAATGAAATGTCAGAAAGGAAGGCTGCCATTCCTACTGCGGAACAGATTTACGTGGCCCTGTGTGCTGAACCAGGGTAACTGAAGCTGCAGCATAAGGGAGGCAGAGAAACATTTTTGAAAGATATAATAAAACATACAGACTATGAGCTATCACTCATTAGGTACACAAAGGACCTCCAGTAAGCCCAAATGCTTTCAGCCCATAGTTTTAGCAACTACCTTCTACTATTACTCCTTTTCAAGGAGTAGGACAACCGTTATCCAAATATCCACTACAATCTTCAGTGCCAGGTTATCAGATACATGTTAGAAAAGCAACCATTTTCTGAATTTCCTCCGGACTAATCCTGATGAAAATAAGTATTTAGAAATATTTTATTTTATTACTACTTGAGATCTGTCAATACAATCTACATTACCTCTCCTGGAAAAATACCTCATACGACTCTCACACAATCTTATCTATTTCACTGCACAATTGTTAGTGACACTGAACATATAACATGGTAATATAATGTAAATCTACAATATTATGTGCATTTTTAGGTAAAAACAAGGCTCTAATAGAACTACTAACGTGAATGCAATCAGAGGATATTTATATAGCACATAAGAACAAAAATATGACAAGATTACTACTAGACACTCACATGTTTTGGATGCTGTTGTGAGACATGAGACCCAGACTATATTACCTTAAAATCACTTGAGAAGAGTAAACCATACATTATATGGGATCACAACCTGGAGGGGGGGGGGGGGTAGGACCACCTTGCCCTTCCCATTACATGGAGCAGAAGGGGTCCCAATAAGCAAAGGACTAATTACCCTCACTTTTTGATCCTGTTATAATTTAATAAAAATAATCTTTTAAGCAAAGTCTGAGCAAGCAACCATTTTATACCTACCCTCTTTTCAATTATAATACAGATTTAAATTAAAGGCACAGAGAACCACTTCAATCAGAAGCTGCTGATTTAAGGATTTCATTGGCTCCTAAACATTTTGCTGTGACAGATGGAATGAAAAAAGTCGTTAAGCTATTCCTCTCTATTTCCTCTGCCCTTTCACAGGTGCAGGACTACTGAAGACAATGCATACACAACCACCACCCAGATCCAGAATAGCAATCAACATCTTAGATTTCAATTTTTACAGTGTCTCTTTTCTAAACACATTAGCTCAGCCTTGCAAAATTCTAATTGACTACTAAGAGTGATTTTTTTTTTTTAACAAGTAATGAAATAAACTAGACATTTTATTTATCACCATGGTCAAGTGTGGGAAGTAGTTTTTGTGGCTCGGCTGGTGGTCTATTTTCCTGACAATTTCACAAGGATGCATTATAAAAACACCTCAATAAAACAGTACATTTCACTTCATTCATTTCCCCCCCTCAAAAATACTGTCCAACGTATCTCAGACAGTTTTTCTCCTCATACATCAAAGTTTTAAATCTAATCAAAGCAACAGATCTAGCCAGAAAATGAAAATCCTTCAGAAAGATACAATAATATTAATCCACACTAAAAAGGAGCAACATAACTCTTTATCTAACACACAGGATACAAACACACAATAGTGGATAGAGATAAAGCATCACACTACACCCGTTGTAGAACTGAATGGTCTTTTAAATAAATTCATTGCTATGTGAAAATAAAATAATTCTTTTAATGTTGAACAGTCATCATATAAATTATGTTTTCATAACATTTTCTCCTCCCTATCATTTGCAAAATTCTAGTACAGGTCTAAGAGTAATATTTCTCTCCCCAATATTTCATTTGGTAAATATTTTCTCCCTTTTAAAAAACCAGCAGCGGAACTCAACATGGTTACTTTTGGTTTATTGCCACAAAGTGGAAACACTCACAGTATCTGAAAGCAAATCGATTTGTACATGTATATTCTCTTAAATCCAGGTTATGTTTAGCTAACATGGTACATTTTACATTAAGAGAAACTGAACTTATGTTGCTTAAGGCAGTACTCTAAAAGTTCATACAATGAAACGTTTCTTTGTATAAAATCCATTTTATTTATTTACTTCGATTTATACATTAATAACGTTCTAAATGTTTCTGATATATTAAAAACTACAACTATAAATGAAGGACCACATTCTCAAAATTGTGTGAACATTTTTGATTGCACCCAATTTTCACATACACAATGCCTTGGGCCTAGGGCCCTACCAAATTCAAGGTCCATTTTGGTCAATTTCAGTCATAAGATTTTAAAAATCGTAAATTTCATGCTTTCAGCTATTTAAATCTGAAATTGCATGGTCTTGTAATTGTAGGGGTCCTGATCCAAAAAGGAGTGTGTGTGTGGGGGGGGGGGATTGCAAGGTTATTGTAGGGAGGGTTGCAGTACTGCTACCCTTACTTCTACGCTGCTGCTGGCGGCGGTATTGCCTTCAGAGCTGAGCAGCTGGAAAGTGGCGGCTGCAGGCCGGGAGCCCAGCTCCGAAGGTAGAGCCGCCGCCAGCAGCAGCGTAGATGTAAGAATGGCATGGTATGGTATTGCCACCCTTACTTCTGCGTGGATGCTGGCAGGATGCTACCTTCAGAGCTGGGTGCCCAGTCAGCTGCCCAGCTCTGAAGTCAGCGCAGAAGTAAGGGTGACAATATCATGACTGCCCTAAAATAATCTGGGGACCCCCCTGCAACTCCCTTTTGGGTCAGAACCCCCAATTTGAGAAACGCTGGTTTCCCCTGTGAAATCTGTATAGTATAAGGTAAAAGCACACGAAATACCAGATTTCACGCAGGGAGACCAGATTTCATGGTCCATGATGCATTTTTCATGGCTGTGAATTTGGTAGGGCCTTACTCATGCCTACATGAATGTCATGAATTTGCATGCAGACACACTAACACTTGAAGGATTTCCACATGTGCACTTTTGAACATTTGGGCTAATGTTTATTAAAATGGACATTTCTGAAATGTTTTTTTTTCTCCCAAAGCAGATTCCGAGGAAAACACAGTGTCAGCAAATGTAAAACACTTAATCTTGCTTTTCTATTAGCTTACCAATCATGAGAACTCTTCTTTGTCTTAATACAAACCTCACTTTCCATACATTTAAATATCAAACAAGTATCAAATCTGTATGGGGACTAAAGGTAGTTTACAGTCCCTTACATGCTACTCTCTTACACTCAGTGTCACGAACAACATTGTCCACCTTGCATTTCGTTCATTTTGCTTTCTTTTTGAATTCATAAATCTTGATTTGGAGGTCAAATGCTGATCTTAGCTACACCTGTGCAAATCTGAAATACCTACTTAGTTCTTCATTTTCCTCCTAAAAGCCCATTTCAACTTAGTTTTCCATTGTTTACTTGCACTCCTTTGCGGTCTGTTCTCACACTCCCCAATCTCAGTCTCTATTTAAAAATCTGAAAATTTACATGGATTAGCTTGTTACATAAAGTGACACTTATTTGTTTAAACACTACTTTTATTACATCTTTCCTGTTTGTGCGCTCCATGGTTATTTCAGGTAGACCATGATCCTGCAAACAATTACGTATGTGAATAGTCCCCATTTGAAGTTAATGGATCTGTGCATGTAAAGTTATACATATGCATAAATATTTGCAAGATTGGAGCCTTTTGATGTAAACTCCTCAGGGCAGTGACAATCTCTAAAAAGCATGACACAAATGTAAGGTGCTATATAAGTGTTTGTTCATTAGCTTCTCTTGCTGTTTAAAACAAGAAAAAGTTATATGGTCATTGAGCTTACTCTATGAGTTTACTGAATGCAGGACTAAGCCTGCCCTGACCCAGGCCATGGCACTGCCAATGTTCCGCCAGGAGGCTTCGCCCTCCCTCTCCCTCTACCCTGAAGCCAGTGGGGGCTCAGCTCCAGCCGGCAGCCTGGAGCTTGGGCCTGCTGGCTGTTGGGGACGGTGCTTCAGCCGGACTGGGTCAGGCCAGTGTGTGTGCGCGCACACGCACGTGTGTGTCTTGAGGCTCCTCAGGCCAGTGTGTATGTGTGGGGGGGGGCCCTCGGGGCTCCGGCATGCAGGGAAGGCAGGTTAGCCTCCCCAAAGGAGGGGTTCACCCGCTGCCCATGATTGAATGTAAAGGAGATATTAATGTGCCAAAAATTTCATTATCTGTGCTACAGCACTTTAGTCCTTGAGTCTCGGACACCAAAAACTGTGCATTCAGTCATGGTTCTGATAATTATTATTATCTATTATTTGTGTTATGGTAGCACCTTGGAGCCCTAGTCATGGACCATCGTGCTAAGTGCTGTACAAACACAGAACAGCAAGACAGTCCCTGCCCCAAAGAGCTTACAAAGCTAGACATAAGAGAAGAGAAACTGGATGGATAGACTGATGTGGAAGTACAAGGAATCAATAAGACAATACTGATCAGCAGGATAGACTGGATAGGCAACAGAGGCTTGCATTGTAGGCAAGAGTCAACCTTTCAATACTGAATGAAATAAGATGTAGGGTGGGGATAGGTCA